AGAAAGACAACCACATTCACTGAAGTCCTAGCTCATTCCAAAAATGTCAAGTAGTTTTGGCAATACTGAGGAAGGGCAAATTTACCAGAGGACTGGCAAGAAAGTGCTACTGGCAGATAAGACTACCCCCCCTCCACTGCTTTGCAGGAGTGTGTAACTGCACAGCTGTCTGCTGTCCCTGTCCAAACTCATCTTATGGCCCCATCATCATCATACTAACTATAGCCTTTTTGTAGATGGATACTCATTCAGTACGCCATCACCACAGTCCTCAAATGCATGTGCTGATCTTGGCCAACAAGGCCCAACAAGCTCCCTTCAGGAACCCAGTCTACAAAGCAGATTTATAAGGAGATGGCCAAGGTAGGGATCCTCTCTCTCTAACCAACTAACAGAGCTGTGAAACCAAGGGGGGCAAGGGACACTTTCTCTTTTGATCAGGAGAGGCAATACTCCCATCTCCCAGAAATACAGGATTTCCTAGCAGTACTACAGCCCCACTACATACCCAATCGCCATGCACACTTGACATATCAAAGCAGAAAAAGTGGGGACAGAGGAGTGTTTGAAACCAAGGACAAGATGGATGCTGCTGAGTGAGCTGAAAGCCTAAACCAGTATGATTTCAAGACAACTATCTTCTATACCTGTAGCAGCAATTTTTTTAAAAGCAGCAGATTAGGACTTTATGTAAGAAGTACAGTACTTACTGCTATAATCACCATATCCATAGTAGTTGTTGTAACCAGTGTAGTCGTATCCTCCATAACCTCCATACCCTTGGCTGTTGTAGCCATAGTTCCCATACCCCTGATTCCAGTAGTTGCTGTATCCCTGATTCCAGTTTTGACTGGGGCCTGAAACATAAAACTCATAGCTGTAGGAGACTCGTTCTCATTTCAGCCAGCCCTTGCCTTCCAATACCACGGCAATGCAAACTTACCTCCACCTCTTCCTCGAGCTCTTCCAACAAATCCTCCTCGACTGCCCCACTGCTGCTGCTGCTGGTACTGCTCCTTTGACATGGCTACTTTTATTTCACACTGGAAATGGAAAGTTAAAATCAGATCCAATTAGCAAAGATATCCCCTACAAATCATTCTTAAATTCACAGAGCACTAAGCAGAAAATAGGATTTGGTCACTCTAGTGCTCTCCCTGAAAAAAAATGGATAGCTTATACTTTCCAAATTGAAAACAGTTGTAAGACACTGCTGTTATAGAAAAACCCCAAACATTTAAAGTTTCCTAACTTTCTGCCAGTATAACCAGTTCTGAGAAGAATGCTTTTTGTTTGTATGGCTTTATCTCTTTGAAACAAAACTCTGAGGTCTGTTTATCTGGGAAAAGTGAAATCAAATCTGAGCTACAAAAGCATGGTCAACTCTGTTCTGAGCCTTTAACTACATGTTCATCCAGTGAAAAAGAGGCCAGCTACAATCAGAGTTTTTGTTACAAGGTTGAATTTCAACAAGGTTTCTGAAAGGGACGTAACTTCCAAGAGAAAAGCCTATCTTCCTGTTTCACTGCAGTTTTGAGAGCACTCTAAGATACATTAACGTTTTGCTTAAAACAACAAAATATTTCCATATTAAACAGACAGAGACCCAGCTACCAGGAAAAAATGGCACAGTCTGATACAGCAGATCAGTGGCACAGCATTCTCACCACACAGCAAAAGAATGTGGGAGCTTCACAATGAAAAAACACGCTGTGGCCCAGCCCTCTCTTCAGATGTGGTGTAGTACAAAACCTCACCAGAAACACCCTCAGCTCAGAAGTTAAGATTACAGTAACTCAAGTCCTAGCACAGGTATGAATAATTCATAGTCTTAATTCCTACATGTGAGAAATAATGCTTAGAGATATTGTCAGATTCTTATCCCAAAACAGATGCAACAGATAATGCAATTCCTTTCCACTGTCATTATTCAGTTTCTCTAGGAAAAACTTCACCTACTTTACTAAGCCCAACATTGTGGTATTTCTTTTCCATTATTTTCTTCACTGGTTCCTCCTCCTTGAAAGTAATGAAGCAAAATCCACGCCTCTTGTTAGTTTTGTTGTCCATGGGGAGCTCTATTGATTCAACCTGGTAGAAGACAGTGATTTTATCTTTTAACCTGCCATTCATGACACTTAAAAATGTTTCTAACAGGTCCTATTTATTAACTGAAATTATTTAGACTTGAATATGATAATGTGCCTCATTTGTGGGCTTTACATCACTAGACACCATCAACAACAACATCACAATCATCACCTTCACTATAAACAGTATTCATAATTGTGTAAAAGATTTCTTTCCCCTCTAACTCACAGTATCATTTGCCTATTCAGGAGCTCATATAAAATGTGGTGCACAAAGAATATTGTAGTTATGCTGGATAAATAGTCTCAGTTTGACTTTCAGTTTTAACTCAGTTAAGACTGAAGTAACTAAGTTTTTCAAACCTTGAGCAGACCTAAATATTCAAATTTCATATGAAAAAGATGTAGCTTTGTGTAAGTGCATAGTTCTGTTCATCCACAATGCTGCTAAGATTTTACACCTGACTACAGAAAGTAAAATTCTCCTTACATATGGCACACAAGACTTCAAAGGAGATCTATAGTCCAGAGTGAATTCTCTGTGAGGTAGCAAGAGGGCAGCAGTAAGACTGACAAATGAATTCCCTGAGAGCAGTTACGACCTGAGGCTGGCAGCATCTGAGAACTAATAGGGAAGCAGCAGCTGTACAAAGCCAGCTTTTAAGTACTGCAGTGCTACTTTGTCACCTGCATCACCAAACACCTGGGACAGAGAGAGACAGAGACTAGTTGCATAGAATTTAGGCAAAACTGTCTGAATCTGTGACACAGCAGATCAGCTGGGGTGGCTGAAGAGCATGTCAGCCAACTGACCAAAGCAGCATGCTCGAAAATGCTGCCTCCCAGGTCTGTTCCAGTCAAGACTGTCATACATCCCATGAATTAGTTCCTGACTGATTTATCCCAGCACCACCTTTCATTAACCCAGTTCATGCAACTCAAAGCCTGTAATATCCTTCTCATCAGAATTCTGACTCCTAAGACACATGGAGCTTTACTGGCCATTAAACTTATAGCAGCAACTATGCAGGCTGCATTTGCGGGATGCTTTTTATTACTAAATGTGCAAAGACACAACAAGTTCTACAAGTATAAGCAGTTTATTTCACCACATACCTCACCAAATCCTCCAAAATATTCCCTTATTTTCTCCTCAGGAGTGTCTGGAGATAAGCCCCCAACAAAAATCTTTTTAACGGGTTCTTTTGTTTTCATGGCTTTAGCTCTTTTTGGATCAATGACCTTTCCATTCAGCTTGTGTTCTTTCTGGTCCATGACCTGTTGAAAATTAAAACATGATCTTATTCATGGTTCAAGCTAAATGTTTCACTGGTGTTTTCAGCAAGGCTTAGTTTTTTTATACTTACTTTTTGTTAATGCTTTTGCTTCAATTTCAGTACTTGGATTACAGCAATAATTTATTGCACAAAACAAAATAGTTCCATGATTCTGATCACTATCACTGACACAGCCTTTCAAGAGTCACCTGGAACCATCTATCACAAGTGAGAGTCCAACACTTCTCAAACTACTCTAGAATCCCATCCTCAAACCTCATGAGGTAAAGAACCTGTACTTTAAATATTACTAAAGGTCAACAAAGGCAAAAGCTTATCAGTGTGCTGTGTCAAACACCATCTTAGAAAGGTTAACAGCTAATTTTTGCTTGAATAAAGCCAAATCTATCAAAGCCACAGGATCTGCTCTAAGGGATTATGTGACAGCTCTGGAATGCAAAGACTTTAAGTTCTTTTATAAATTACTACTTTCACAGTAGTAGGAAGCATGCATTCATTTACAGTGGTTTGCAAAAGATTCCCCTGTAAGTACCCAAAGCCATGACTTGGGAATAATTTCTGAGCTTGGCCACTGCATCACAAGTAAGACAGTTCAAGAGAAAATAACATTTCAATAAGCATCTTAAATATACCGTATCCCACAGTCATCTTTAACAGATCACATACAAATAACTATGCATACAATCACCCTAGTGTTGTGTATCTGCTACCTAAAATGCAATATGTAGTTTCACTATGTTAATACTACCTTATCTACGCTCTCTGATTCTTTGAAGAGTACAAAGCCGAAGCCTCGCGATCGCCCAGTGATTGGATCTAACTTCAGAGTGCAGTCTACAACTTCACCAAACTTAGAGAAATAGTCCTTCAGATCTTTCTTTGTAGTGTCCCAGCTAAGGCCGCCGATAAACATTTTCCTGTTAAGACAAGACAGTTAATCTGTTAATGTGCCTTAACCAAAATCCTGTACTGACAAGCTTTACGAATCCAGTTACCTAATGCAAAGGACAGCATGGTTTATTGGTGAGTTGTCACGCACACAGGCCTTTTTGAGAACTTGCTTAAATGATCCTGGCTAGATTAGACAAAGGCTTACATGTACAGAAAAGTTTTGTAACATCATCTTAACACTGCTAACCCAAGGAACTGAAAAGAGTGATAAAAAGATACCTTACTACTTCCTTGCAACCCCACCATTACTGACCCACCACAAGATTAATTCCATTTAGTTATCTGAGGAGCTTCCACACAACTGCTTATGAAACAAACAGTGGCAGAATACATGTATAAGCAGTGCAATTAAACAGAAGCATTTATGTACTAGTCTGGACTGGACATATGCCAATAAAACAAAGTTTAATCAAGTCCCCTTCCCCAGAAATCAGTAAAAAAGCAAAATGATGGATGGTCAACTTTCCACCCAAACCCATGACATAAACATCTGGGCATAATCCAAATAATCACAATAATCCAATAATCACAAGAACACTTTCCCACAGGACCAGTGTTGGTGTGCAAACAAGTACAGCAGGTAACTCTGATCATGACTTGTATTTTCAAAAGCATACTGGAAGCTCGGAAATTAGATCATGACCATCCAATCCCATACTAAATAAGTAAGTAAATCAAGAACCACTGTGTCTCAAGATGAAACACTTCATGATTTACATATTCTTCTAATACTGATAAGATTTTACAGCGGGCTCAAAACAAAACCTATGATCCATTATGATCTATGAAAATGCTTTCTACAAAGCTTTGCCCATTTTCACTGTACCAACTTAAGCCACAATCACAGATTTATCAGAAAACCTAAAAAGCCACTGTAGCATGTTACCACCTGTTCCACTTTCCACACACAGGCATATTTCTGCCAACTGCATGTAATTTCACTGTACTTCTGTAAGTCAAACTCTCTCTAATCAAAAAGCTGCTTGTGTGAACTAACTCTGATGAATTAGCTGTGCTCTTACAAGAGCATTCAGCTTCTGACAAACATACCCAATCTCCATGCAGACGTGGGGGTTCAGGAGCTTCAGGTGTCTCTATAAAAAGTCTTGAAGTCTATTGAACAGGAACTCTGATCTCCGATCCCTTTATCAACTTTTCCCATTAGTTACAGACAATAAAGCACCAAAAGCTCTTTCTAGTGTGACATCTTATTGTATGCAAGACCAATATGGAAAAAATGACCCACACAATGGTGAGCCAGTAGCCTCATACCAGTACAGACTGCAATCCAAAGGATGGTTTGTGTCCTTGTGTCTATCCATCATTAAGGTTCTTTTTTGGTCATTTGTTTTGTGGGCTTTTTTTAAGCAGAAAAATAGAATGCATACAGAGGGTGCAGTGTCACACTTCTGACACATGTGGAATAGTGATACTCTAGCAGTTACTACTGAACATACACTTGCTACCTGATACACAGAACACCTGCTTTGCAGTTATCAACAAACCATTAACATACAAACCTTGTAGTATAATTCTTGTCAATCACGGTTAGCATATCAATAAGTACATGACAGAACACAACATTGAAACTACCAGCCCTCTGAAGGACTCTCTTCTGAGCATGCAGTAACTGCATCAATGAGTTCAGTTACAGAGCAGCAAAACACGAACTGCTTCAGTTTACTACTATTGAAATTGAATAACTACTGCTCCACTGCAAAACTAAGGTCAGACTACAGTTACAACACAAACATGAGCACAACAAACAATTAAGGTACAATGCCACAGTGCTGTCAAAGGCTTGTAAAATACACACGTTTCCCAAACCACAGTCTGGCTCATGTAAGACACATCAGCACACATAGTTTTCCAAAATAATTTACCAGCAGCATACTTGGAAAGTTTTCAGGCTTTGCTAAACAGAGCACAGACAACACCACTAGTAGCTTTGGTCTCCAACAGGCTAGTCAGGAAGTCTCCTTGCATTTGCCAACACGTGGATTTCCCTAGTCCACAGTTCTGAGATCTGAGGGTATGAGAACCTGTTTCTTCCAGAAGACACTGTCTTTAACTCCTAAGGCAAAGGTAACACACCAATGTATCCTCAACCAACAGCTACCAAGAATGCTGTTTTCCCTCTACTACCAAGCGAGCTGTTTCCTGTACAGCAATACCCTTAAGAATTGGCAGATTAAAACACCTCACTGAAGTAAATTACAAGTCAGTGTATGCTACATGTAATCGCAAACTGCAAAGGTACTTAGAGCCATTAAGAGCAGGTGAGAAGTAATAAAAACATTCTAAGTTTTCACTAACCCCGCAGAACACTGAGAAAATGTTCCTGTTTTTTCCCTGCTCTCAGCAGCATCCCAGGTTATTACGGGAGGCAGACACTCGGGAAGGTTATACAGCAAGTCTCTACAGCACACAGCAGCTAGTGTTCCTGTATCTAATTTTCTGCCTTGATCAAAACCAGATTTTAAGGTCGAGTTTCTTACTGGTCTGACAGGAGACAGCATACAGCAGCAGCCTCTCCTGTAACTGGGATAGTATGTCAATTTCAGCTGCTATATGAACGCGACACTGCCTCATGCCAAACATCAGGCAGACCCTCAGAAGGTTAAAAGCTGCCCATGGCAGGAGGGTTGGAACTAGCTGATCTTAAGGTCCTTTCCAACCCTAACTATTCTATGATTCACTCTTAAGTTGTCACCTAGAACAACTTTCCCCAAAGCAAGCTTCGTGAGCACAGGAGGAATAGTTTAAGGTGCAAAGAAGTCAAGGTGTTTCATGCCTCTGACACACAACTGACATACATTTTATGTTTGCAACAGCAGGCAATACTAAGTGAATGCAACCTGAGCATTAAGCTACACTAACTTACAGCTTTAACGCATGTACCACACATTAACTTGTAGAAAAGACATCCCCGATGCTAACGGCAGTAGGATTTGGGTTGACATGGGCATGAAACTTTCCCCCCTTGACAGCAGCATCTGGAACTCCGTGACAGCGCTGCTCCCGCTAAATTCCAAACTGACCCTGAACACAGGATGACCCCCGAAAAGCCAACCAGCTACCGACCCGGCTGTGCTTCCCAAGAGCACGCCGGGCCGTGTTTAAGTTTACAGCCTTCAGTTACCACCCGAGCCGCTCCGCCCTCGGAACACCATCTTCCTACTGTTCACGGCCCGGTGTTTCCAGCACACCGGAAGACGGGGCTGCCCCAGCGGCGTCGCCCGCCGAGCCCAGCCGGCGTCCCGCCCCCGACAGCCCGGCCCGGTACGTGACGTCGCTGGGGCGCCAAGTAAACAAACAGGGCGGCGAAAGGAGCCGCGCCGGGCCAAGTCGAGGGGCGCCGCAACACACCGCCCGCCCAGCAGGACGCCGCCAAGGAGACAAAAGCCGCGGGGCCCCTGTGGCTCACCCCTCGTCCTCCTCGTTCTTGCTGGCGTCGATCTTCGCTCCCTCCGACTCGATCCCGCCGCCGCCACCTCCCCCGTCGGCGCCCCCCGCCACAGCCCCCGCCAGCCCCTCAGACTGCTCCGCGGGCTCTGCCAAGTTGCCTCCGGCGCCCGCCACCGCCGAGTCCATCGCGAACTGCTGCTCCGACATGGCGCCGGTGCGGCTGACCCGCGCAGGCCGGCCGGCCAGACAGCCAGCGACCGCGCCGCCCAGCCGCCCGCCCGCCGGCCGGCCCCTTCCCCGCCGAGGCCCCGGCCCCCCGATCGCGGCCCCGGCACGAGCGCACCGAGCCCTCCTCCTTTCGCTCGCGTTTTTTAATGGCGCCGCCACCGACACAACCTAAAATGGCGGACGGAAGGAGAGCGGCGGGCGCGGTCACGTGACGGGGAGACGGCGGCGGGGCGGGGGTAAGGGGTGGTGGCACCGGGCCGTTGGAGCAGGCGGCTGGGGACAGTTCGCCGGCGGGCACTGAGACGCCGAACTTCGCGCTTTGGCTTTTTTCGGGTGAGAGCCGCCGCGGAGCAGGGCGTGGTGTGAGCATGGGCACGGGTACCGGGGCACACCTGCCCGAGCCCCGCTGGGACCCGAGCGTGCAGGGCCGGCATGCAGACACCTCCGTCCGCGTTCCCAGGGCCTGAAGATACAGAAATTACGCTTCACACACACAAAATCAGTCACTTTTACATTTAAAACATAAATTGATACAAGGAAAACTTGACCCTTAAACACGTGCTTTTATATATATATGTGTGTGCATATATATATATAAAAGTGTAATAGCAAAGCCACATCCTAGTCACAAAAGTAAAGCACTGTTGGCAAGGACAGCTTCAGCATCTAGCTACACCCTGGAAAAGTTAGTACAGTCACACACTGCTGCAGCTTCTAGCTCTTTAATTTGTAACCAGTGATGGCAACAAGTCTTTCCTTATCCAGTCTAATTGACAAGATATAAGAACCTCCCCAGATATAGTAACTGCTTAAACTAAGAGTTGTGGTATGCAGCATTTCTGTATGACAAAAGAGAACACTCAGCTGCCTGATAAAGAAATAAACCTTAAAATCAGTTTGGAAACTTAAGAGAAATCTCTTCCCAACTACTCCCTTTTGCAAGACTGGCCTCCTCTCTGATTTAGCTACTCACATTTCACTTCACTCTAACACTCAAGGTTTATTTTTGATACATAACTACGCATTTGTGCCAAAGAAAAAGCAAACAATGTTAAGACAGATTGCTGCAATCCTTCAGCTTTCGGCTGAATAGGTTTGCTCACTTACCTATCGCAGCTGTTCTACTCAGAATACAACCTGCTGGTTAAAGCAGTTTCCCTTCTCATGCTATCATTCATTCAGGCTTTTTATTAATGATGCTTGTTAGCATATTCAAGATGGGAAGCCTGTTTTCTATTCCTGTTGAGAAGAATCCAATAAAGAATCCAACTTGAATGAATAGATCCCCAACTTGTACTGAAATTGGATACCAACCCTAGAATTAAGGAACTTGTACCACCTTCTCGGAATTAGAATACATAGGGAGAAATAAGTTGCAGCCTTAAGTATTCTAGAACCTGCTTGAAAAGCCTAGAAAGATGATGATCTCGCCCTACAACACTCTCAACAAGCAGTGCTACCAAAATAAAAGGTGCTGCTCTAGCTTAGATCCTTCCCTCGAGACGTATGAAACTGGCAGTACTGTGCCACAGACCACTCTCCTCTTTTCTGCAATGGGCAAGAGGTAACGCTGCCAGTCATGCTAACTCAAGGGAACTATGTTTTCTTAAGACAGGTCAGGAAAAGGAGTGGGTTGTACTGACCTGTATATAGAGTAACTCTTGTCTTGAGCCATTTATGATCTCCAGAAAGGTATCTACCCATCTATACAAATACAGTTTATAGCACTGTAAGCTGACAGTCAACAGCAAGACTACACACTCACTTAAGTAAGCATTTATTAGAGAACCCTTTAACATGAAATTATACAAATAAAAGTTTGTATAAACACAAGCCCACATTGTGTCATGACATGAATGGCAAAAGGAAAGTAAAAATCATAAAAGAAAACTAGCTGGCCACTATGTACAGTTGGACACAGTTGCGTGTCGGACACTAAGTCTTTTACAAAATAGTCATTTCCTCTCACGAAGAACACCCTCTATTCACTCACGATGCGCTGCACGATGGCTTTGTTGCAGTATCTCTACCTAAAAATTAAGACAAAATGTATGTCAGATCTGTGCAAGCTACTACAAAAATCGTTAAAAGGTCCATTTTCATGAACTGCTTTAAGTCTTCTATATATTCCTTTCTTCACTGTTAAAGATCATATACATATTTCTTTAGGTAACGCAATAGGTTTTGTTACCCATCAAGTAATTTATCTTCCCAAATACAGCCATCCAAGCCCATTTAGGAAGCTGCTCCAGGACAACACATATCCAATTCAGGCTTATTAATCAGGCTCTGGATCAGCTTGTTGTGTTTTTTTTTTCCCCCACTGTAAACAGCGACAAAAGGGTTTCAATTATTTATCCATCTAAATGACTGCTGTGCAAATGCAAATCAGGTCAATTTAGTTCAAACAGTCCACATGCATATGATCTTTAATGTTTTTCCAGATTTAAAAGTTCGTTTTGGTTTGCAGATTTCACTATTAGCTATAAAAAGAAAAAAGCAAGCATTAAATCTTAAAGAATGCACACTTTAAAATGAGGTTCCACAATTGAAATACAACACTAAACAGAAGACCAAATGATTAAGCTGTAAAGGCATTTATGTACTTTAACTCCTGTAAAAAACCATTTAAGTTAAAGACACTTAATCTCCAAAAAGATTAAAAAAAGAAGCCAAAGTCTGAAGTTTTCCACTTTAATCTTTACGCTGGTACATGAAGTTGGAAGAGACCATACCACAGGACAGCGTTTTCTGGTGTATGCCTTGCGCTCTGCCTGCAACGTGCGACCCCAGAGATAGACGTGGTCAGGGTGACACACGGCCTGCAATGAAGTTCCCGCTGGCGGGTACAAACAAGGTATAATGTCAGAGTTAGAAGACAACATTCTTGTTTTCCTTAAGTTGTACCCATTTCAGTACTTTACCTGTTAATACTTTAATAAGTTTAATTATTCCTCTAGACCACCTGGTACACAACGCAAAAACAGAAAAACTCTTATGTTTTTCTGAAGTACTAGAGAAGATAAGTCACATTTTTACAAAGTTAAAGATCTATAGACACTGTAGGCAAAGCTGGCTTTAAAAAAGAAAGTGTATTTTTTTAAGTTAAAAAAAGCTTAAAGTCATGCTATGCAAGTTTTTTACTCTTCATTTGTCTATTGATCTTTAAATTAGATTAGACATACTCAGTGTAAACCTTGCATTTATGTACACACCTGTTTCCTCAAGTACTAAACACTGCTTCAGTACGGCTGGTAGTTGTTTTGGTGATTGCCGCCACCACGGGATACCTTTCCATATGCGCTTTGCTGACCTGTAGATAATATCGGGGAGAAAAAAAACACAACACCACAGAAGGATTAACAGCCAACACTCTGAATGAGATCGTTCCCATACAGTATGTCAAGAGGGCTGCTCTTCAAAGTCATATGTTAGTAAGAGGTGTAACAGAGCAAGTTACTAGAAGAGGCACCTGTTTAAAAATGCATGCTATTATCTGAAATGAGATCAAAACCACTTACCACTGTAATCTGTGTATCCTGGCCCATATCCATAATTGGGATAGTTGTACCCGGAGTAGTCATAGCCTCCATAGCCACTGTAGGTTTGATCACTGTAAGCATTATTGTAGTTCCCGTATCCTTGATCATAGTAGTTATTAAATCCTTGATTCCAGTTTTGTCCCTGACCTGAAACAAAGTATAACATTTAGAAGTGATAGAACTTACTACTTCATTCTGTGCTATGCCACTTCATCCAGCTTTCTATGGCAATCTTTCTATGCCAAAACTACTATCTGGAAGAATCCTCTTACTCTCCCCCCAAGAAAAATAATTTTCTAAGGAGAACTGAGGTGTCTCATTTGGGTATGACATAGGCTGTAAAATCTTTTCACCCACAACAACATTAGAGACAGACAGCAGATAGTCCTGCTCATAGAACAGCCAACAAAAACAGAACACCGAAGGTACACACTACAAGCAGCTCCTACCTTTTTCTTGTAATTTGTAAGGATCTTGTAAGGATCCATTTTGGATCCTTAATTGCCTAACACCAAGTTGTATCAAAGGACAAACTCTACTACATCATGTTTGGCTGTGACTGCTTGACTTTAAGAGATGTATTAACCTACACAAAAACCAAGTGATTGCTTCTCATCTATTTGCAAGGCACAGCAAAGCAACTGTCTTCCTCTTCAGCAAGCAGGTCATGGTTTCTCACCCATAAGCCAACTATCAGTGCATCCCTTCACATGAAAAGATAACCATTATTCGTTTAACTATGCTGTCAATTGTGGGTATATAAAAGCACCCTACATCTAGCTTGCAACTTCACCACTTCAGTGCAAACAGAGCAAGAAGAGTTTCTTGAGCTTCCACAATCACAACCACCAAAATACCATTTACTAACAGGCTGCTTTCCACATTGAGTTTAAACATGAAATCCGGACTGTCTACAAACACTTTGGTACACACACTTACAGATTTACCTTAATTTCAACATCCAAAATACTCACCTCGTCCACGCCCCCTTCCACCTCCTCGTCCACCAGCTGTATTGCTCTTTCCTCCTTTCTGCTGCTGCTGCTGTTGCCTGTACACCTCTTTGGGCTGTGCTACTTTGATCTCACACTGTAAAAAGAAAAATTCTTTAACTCTCCAAGAATGTAAAGACCATTATGCAAGTTGCTTTCAGGGAAGCCTGTAACATTTCACATACTAAGAATGACAGCTCCCATACCTTGCCTGAACCAATCTGATGGTATCTGCTCTCTAGTAGTTTCTTTACGGGCTCTTCATCTGTGTACGTGATAAAACAGAAGCCTCTCCTTTCATTTGTCTTTGTGTCCATGGGAAGCTCAATATTTTCAATCTGAAATCAAAAGTCAGTAATGCATGAAATCGGTAAGCAACTTTTTATGCTACCACAACCATTTGGCAGTCCAGGGGTTATGCTGACAGCTTTGAATCAGCCCACCACAACACTATGGAATCATTAACGTGCATATAGTTTCAACAAACCCTAGCTCTA